TTTTCTGGTTACATAATATTCACATGTAGTTTTTATTTACTCAGATTACCTAAGGACCTGCATGACATTTGATTTTATAGAAATTATGTGGATTAAGTTACAGAAAGTATAAAGATGTTTGTATCTATGGACCAATGCATAAAGCATTTACTCTAAAATTGAACAATAAAAATGGTTGTTTTGTCATTTGTTTATTGATCCTTTATAACTCAGTATTTACCTCATATTTTCCAGTACGATTAATAAAAAATGGAACAACAGGTGGATGTCTAGAAGTGAAAAATAAAAACTCTTAATATAAATATTTTTTCTTAATTAAGCAATTAAATAAGCCTGTCAATGGCAGGAGGATCTAAATTAGAGATGATGTGCTAGCAATTTAACAACACACCAGTTTGGTTGAACAGTTGGGTTTATTTGGTTTTGAGACGTTTAAATCCACTGTAAACGTTTCCCAGTGGGAAGCGCGAGCCGCAGCTAACAGGGTCCCTCCAAACACTGCAAATATGTGGGGAGCTTTCAGTCAAAGCAGAAGAACGTCAGCGGCCTCCATGGTCAGATCAGACAAGAAGGATGCTTTCCCACAATCCTTAGCGTCACCAGTTTAGTTTCTTCACTTGTACTCTGTGAAACATGCTAATCTTCACACCTTCATATTGTTTGGCTTTTATAGCAAAGAGCTTCACTACATTTGGGGAACTTTTTTTCGTAGTTCTTTTACCAAAGGGCGTCATCTCAGTTTTACGCCGTCATCCATGTGAGTTTTTGTCCAGTAGTGAAGCTGGAAGTCCAAAGGCTGCCTGGATTCAGCAGGTTTCCTAATATTGTTCCCACATACAGATGAAAGAGAGGAGCTACCGTTGGGATGCAGCAGATCCGTCCAGGTGAGCAGAAATGAGGACTTTTCTACTAAACAGTAACAGGAAAGTCCGTCATCAATGGACTCTGGACATGCAGGATTTCAGAGGTTATAAATACAACTGAACCAAGGCTGCAGCTAATTATTTATCTGATATGTTAACCTGTAAATTAGTTTTTGGATTAATAATTTGATATCTCTGGATCCAGCATATTGATGCACAAAATTTTAATGCAAGATATATTATATAATATTTTTACAGTTCTGTGATAATTACTGTTCCACGTCGTTTGCTTTGTCAGTTAATGGAATGTTAGAATCTGCTGACTAAAGTCAATGATTAATCCATTTCTAAATGATTTGGTTAACGTTTCAAAAATCAAATCAATTTTCTGCAAACTGAACCTACAGTGAAACAGGCTTAGTGCAAAGAAAGAAGAAATCATAGCAATATTAGCTGTAAAATCTGACAGAATTAGACTTTTGGCAAAATCGAAATCTAAATTTACTCCATTGGCAAATTGTCTCAGCAGCTCAAATCAACGGGAAATTAGTTTATTTCCTGAAAACACACTTTTTCATTTTTAGTTCCTGTTGTGATTATGCAGTGATTTCTTTTATAAAAGGAAACTGTCAACAGTTCTAATCAAATCCATCTTCCAGTCACTGCAATGGAGCGAGAAAAAGCTCTAAAAATTAAAGGGAAAACAAGAAGATGTGACTCTGATGATTTGTGTCCAGGAAAGTGAATCTGTTCTTGAGATGCCACATAAAGTTAAACAGAACTTATGCTTCTGCATTTTTCAACATTTATAAGATTTTTTTTCTGATCAATTTATAAAAAGGAAAAAAAAGTTTATAATTTTGGATGAAAGTTTAGGTTATTTTTCCTTTATTTGATTCGATTGAACCATATAGAGAATTTTAAAGAATTAAAAAAGAAAAATGGCAAAAT